GAATTCATTGCTGACTGGCTGCTGCCGAGCGGAATCCTTTCAGGAATGTCTGGAACTTTCTCAAACCACTACAGAGAGAGAAAGCGAGTGAAAGCTTGAGCTGCGGGGAGGAGAAAGACGAGTGAAGAAAGCAGATGTGTCTGTTCTTCTGTTGTGGACTGGACTGTACAGTAAGCTTGAATATACGAGCGAGTGCGATCGGGTTTTCGACTGGGTGCTAATAGCTAGCGTATCTTGAATTGATTAGCGCGTGTGAGATGACTCGTCTTTCCGTGTGTGGTCCATTTAGCTAAATAATCAGCCATAATCTCTCGCAGATATTGAATCAGTGTTTCTGCATCAAAGGACAAGCTCAGAGTGAAAGTAAGGCCATCCAGGCCACCTGCTGATCAAAAGAGGAACGAGCATGATGTCAGTCAGGTTTGAGTAGATTTTAGAGACTAATGAATAGGGTATGATTGTTAATAAGTGCATTACTTCATCTAAACCGTGTTTTCCAAAACTTACTACACATTCACTATTTAAAACGACAATTTGACGTCAATTAATGTAAATTCTGGTAAGTAGCTATGCAGCCAAAATCAATGCTGCGTCCCAATTCGCATACTTATACACCCTCAAAGTAGCTATGTACTTTATTTGTGAAGGAAAAGTACAAACTTTTGAGTGTTTAACAGAAGACTATGCCAATCAAAACTATCATCCCCTGTCAAGTATCTCAACACATCCATCCATTTCTTAATTACCAACCTTATTAGAGAAGCTGTACCAGGATAATCTGCCATTTGTGAGTCTTTCGTGGCGGAAAATCTCCACCGGTTTTTGTATAATAGTGTAAATTTAGAAGTTAATTTAGTGTAAATTTAGAAGTTTAACATGAAGCTTCTTATTGCACTGGTGAACAACAATCATTTCTTCATCGAAAGAACTGACTTGAACCATGTATGCTTGTTCAAGTCGCCAGTAACTTTAACAATAAAGCTGCGTCCCAAATCGCATACTTATGCACTATTCTACGCCCTTTTGTAGTATAAATAGTGTGTTCACACTGAAAACTCTAAAAATAATAAGTGCACTTAAATTACCGTGATGATACACTCATACACTATGCTAAAATGAAGTGTGTAATGATGGACACTTCACGCACTCAACGACCGCAGGTTTGCTCACGTAGCGGAAGCAGCGGAGCTATCGGCCGCACATGTTGGATAACTTTATTTATTGTAGATTGTAAAGGCAAAATTCTCCTACCAGAGTGATTTGGGACACAGCTTAAAGCCTGGTTTATACTTCTGTGTCAAGTGACCGGCGTGACCCACGGCGCATGCAACGCGCGTAGCTGTGCATTTATACTTCTGCGCGCTGTCTCTGTTGGTCTGAATTAACACTTCCGAAACGCTAGTTGGCAGTGAGGTGTTAATACTCCTCTGTGTCGAGTTTCTTCTCTGCTGTTTTGCTTTTCCTGAACACTTCCTGGATGTACAAGTGGCTCAAACTCGCTCATTTTGAGGCATGAACCGGCGGACGTGCAACAACTTTAACTATGAGGTAAACACAAAACAAAACTTTCCATCAGGAGCTCCTTCACGGGACTCCACACTTGTAAACAATCACTTTATTGTGCTCGCGTCCAGCTCGCGCCATTTGCACGGCTCTTGGTCCCACCCAGACTCGTCAGCGCTACCAAGCCGACCAATCACAGAGCTTGTGCTACGCGTCGTTGCACAATTTTTAAGAGGTGCACGTCAGCGATGCCGGCGTTTGATGCAGACGTATAAATCAGCCTTAAGCCTGTCAAACTTTCTGTCTTCTTCTTCTTCTGTGTTACAAGCGGGTGTCAGAAGCTTAAATTTGTGTAGCGCCATCTAACATCAAGGAGTGATTTTGCATACTCTCCTGCTCGACACCAGTGAAAATCGCTTAGGTTTGAGTTTGGAAAAACGTCTCGAGAAATGCTGACGATAAACGCAAACAGAAAGTGTCCCGGTGTGTAGAGCCTTTAGTACGGACGTTGACAGAGACCCATATTTTTGGTTGTTTGGAATAGGCTTGGGCGGTATCCAAATTTCGATACCTTCAAACTTCCGTATTTTACCTACGGTTTTAACATGCATAATAAAAAAAATTATGACGTAAGGCTCAGATAGCGTCATGAAACTTTTGGCTTGTGCCTTATCCATTCAGAAACTGAGTACCGTATATGTGACCTTGGGTTTAAGGTATTTCCATCTCTCACGGTCACCTTTTAGTTGCACAATATTTCAAATTGCATTATTTGTATTTACCGCCTCTCCCTTCTCATTCGGTCGAAACCCAAAATATTGCCAAACTGCAGAAGTTGTGGTTTTTATTCGAGACCAGGTCACCTGGTGTCTCGCCACCTTTTCCTCACCTCTCTCTTTCCCCTGCAGGCTGTGATGACGAACACACATATGCTTTTTTTACGCATTAAATAAACAATGTTTAATATTTAATCCTCGTCACCTATATAAGTGCATTGTTTTTTTTATGATGGTGTAATGGTATTGAAACTGATACTGTTGCTATTTTTAGATCCCGCGGTATACCATTTTGCTGTATTACCACCCAGGCCTAGTTTGGAGTGAACTAAAAGGAGCAACTGTACAAGAGTTTGTTTTATTCAAACAAAAACTGACTTGTGTGAAAACCCTGGGGGCTATTTGAGATATTTTAGCAAAGGGACTGCCTAGGAAGTGTACACACATCCAGAGTGTTTTAAACCTAGAATAAAATCAAGTACTGTAGTAGCACGACTGTATTTGGGTCGATTTGGTTTGTGCAGCAGGTCTGCTAAATTTCTTTCTCTCTGGCACGCGGCTGAAACGCTCTCTTGTTCTGTTTCCGTGGGCCCTGGAGAGCAGCTCTGGATCACATTAAAGCTGGCAAAGACAGCGGCTTCTCCTTTATATATTTCTCCCCTCAGATCTTGTCTCTCTTTTTTTATGCACACTTCTTATTTACAATCTTTGGCCTGCTTAAAGGAATAGTTTGACCAAAAATGAGAATTGTCATGTCGTAATAAACCTGTTTTCCAGACCAAATGACGTTCCAAATAGTTCATTAAAAGATTTGTGGCCTGCTAACTGAAAAATATGATTAAATGCAAAGTCAAATAAAGCAGACACAGATATCACTTTCTTTGAAATCAGTTTATTGAGTTGGTTTTACACAGATTTGGTTTTGTGGTACAAAACACTGCTGGTTAGCGAGATATCTCTACCAAACAACAACCAAAGCAGCTGAATACACAACCAAAGCTTTACAACACAGCCAACCACATGACCGCAATGCACCATCTCTGTTATTTTGCTCTTCCAGTTGTCTTTCAGTGTTTGTTTGCGTCTAAACACACACTCGCACATGCACACTTCATATGAGTGCTTTTAAATGAAATGGCTTCACCACCAATAAATAGAGTATAAAAATGCAATCGTAATAATTTTATTATAAAAAAATTAAACAAAAGATAGCAAAGGCACTGAACGAAAAAAACCTTGGCAGTCCAGGTTTTTCAAACGGATACCAAACCCCCCAAAAAAAGATTATGGCATTAATCAAAACAAATAGTAATTAAACATAATAAAATAATGCATAAATAACATAATACTACCATTTCAGTACTGTCAATACACAATATCCAGTCAAGTTTTCCGCTAATTTGGACTAAAATGCACCAGGTATTTCCAGTTTGGCTGAAAGCATGTTTGCATTTGATTTGCAATGGCCGCCTCTCTGTTAATCTCAGTAATGATGGCACTATGGTTAGCGATGGCACATTTGGGTGGATGCTCAACTTTGTCCTAAGACAAATAAGGTTGATCGTGAATATCGTGACACCAAATATTGGGTCAGATCTGTGAGGCGGCGTTTGAGATTTCTGACACGCATCAAATGACCCTGACGAAACTGCAGTAGTTGTGATTGATCTTCTCTTTATGCCAATGCTAGACATACCTGTAGAGATCAGGAGAGATTATACGCACGACGTTCTTCCGTATGGTAAATCAATAATAATAATATTTTGGAGAATCAAAAACAAAAGCGCAATAACATAAAAATACTAACATAGTATAATTCGATCACTGAATCCAGTTGACAATACAATGCAATACAGAAATGCAGTACGATACGATACACATTAGGTGCGTCTATTATGTCTGCCCAGGACCTCCTTTGAACGAAATGCCTCCTGTGATCTTTTTCCAGTTGAAATTTGTCCATTACTGCTGATACAACATGAACAAGAACTGGTTGGGTTCATTTAAGTAGAATCAAAACAGCTCGTATGAGTTTACAAAAATAAGTTCAAACAATATAACCTAATTTATTAAGTTAAAACATGATGACCGTTAAGTCATGACAGAAATTTTCTAAAGGTTCAGCAAACTTAACCTCTCCTGTAATATCTGACATAGTGTCCATAAGCCACCAACCTAATTTCACCAAGTAGGACATGTTCCTGGATTAAAATGTTATAGCCAATCAGAATTAAGGAATATGTTTACAGTTTATGTTAAGTTTAGGCTTACGGTTAGATTTATGCATTTCAACATGATTGTTGTCCAACTATTGATTTTGTGAATAATTTACCATTGTGGTTGAGTTTAGGGGTAGTGAATAGGCATTGCTTAATTTGTGAATTGCAAGGTCTCGGAACAGATCGGGGTAAGGGATTCGTTATTTTACCCAAGGATGTAGTGCCATTGCGCATGAAAGTGGAGAGTGGGGGGAAGGTGATGGCAGGGCGTTGGATGGCGAAGGGGTGCCGCCGACGAAAGTCCAGAGGGGGGATGGGGGTGTTGTCGCAGATGAAAAGGAAGAGAGTTGGGGAATCGTGGAAGACAGTGAAAGTGAACAGCGGACAAGGGAGGAGGGCGGTTGAAAAGGGGGATTGGTAAAATGAGGTGCTGGATCAAATTTAAGAGGTGCCTGATCTGGAGTGTTCCGGCACAAATTATGCCCTGAGAATTGGTATGGATTACATTTTTGAGAAAAAATGATGTTCCAGGATCAACATAGATACTAATCCAGGATTGCATCGTACTTGGCAAAATCATGATGTGCATCGATATACACCTTCTTTGGTACAAAATACTTCCCTTATCCTTCCATCTACTTTCTTCATCTCACTATTTCTACACTTGCACTAGTCATTCTGAACATGCAGCAAAATAAAAAGCTACCTCATCCTTTCCAGTCAACAATTCCACTTGTCTCTCTTACTGGAAAAGCGTCCTCCATCCATAAAAGCTTTCACGAACATACCTTAGTAAATACCTCTCTTTCTACTCCAGCTACTTCACACTTACCTTCTAAAAAGACATTAAGACAACAGCTTAAACTAAAATTGCACTTTCATCCCTTTGAAATTCTGCACGTTAATAAACAAAGGACTAAAGATTCTGAAACAATAAAGCTTCTGTCCTGTTAAACCAACGACACAGGGAAGATCTCTGGGTCACGGTGTTAAGATCTAGTCCAAACATGCCTCTTAAAGAGCCTTTGGAATTTGCTGCCTCATCACTGCTTTGAAGCTAATCGCTCTACTTGTTTTCTAACAGGAGTGTTTTGGGCATCAAAGTTCAACAGAGAACCAATAATCCGTTATTCTTAGAGCAAAGCAATTATAATCCCTAAGTATCAACATATAAACACCAGGAGACAATGTTCCTGCAGACGAATGGCTTTGGAAAACCTCTAACAAGCTTGTCTCCGCCTAAAACATTCTTTGGAGCTGAGATTGTGTCTGACATTTCTACCTTGTGTTAGACCTTGTTAAGGTGAAGGTGTCCAGAAACCCTAAACAGTCACCTAACCTACTCAAGAAACCACAAGAGTAGCATTCCAGAGAAACATATGGCACATGCACACATGTTCCTGTCAGGACTCAATCAAAAACAACCAATCTAGCTTGCTGGAACCTTGAAATACCCAACGGGTTTTGGAAATAAACTCCCTTTGGAGGTGATCACAGATTGGTTATTTTTCATCTTGAATACCTCACTGTAAAATACTGATATGTCATGAGTAGTGGGGCAGGTTGTAGTCATATAGGGTAGGCTTTGCGCTCAGGGGTCCTGGGCCTCTTCTAAGCATTCAATACGAACTCAAAAATAAAATAATAAAATAATAAATCATAAAATGCTGTTCATCTGATAACAGCTTCCTCTGTCATCTCTCTCCACCTCGAGGAAATGACATACATAATTAGATATGAATTACAAAAAAAAAAAACAAAGAAACAAAAAAGGCACTTCTATAATTCCATAAATATGATTCTACTTATAGGATCAATACGAGTTTGATCTTACATATGCAGTTTAAATGACATATAAAGAAAACTAACAATTATATATGTCAGTTCCAATCAAGGACAATGAGAGATTTCATATTCTTCCAGTACTGCCAGACCACACCAGTTTTGTATCACTAAGTCTACTAAAAAAATATTAATAAATAATACACAACAACAGTTTATTTGGAGCAAGACCCTGGTTTCTTTTTTGGAAGTAAAGACCACAAAAACGACATGTGCTCTGTGAGAGTTTTAAGGTGCTTGATAAACTCAGGTTGGCTCTTATTCTTGTTTCATCAAGGCTGCCGTTATATGATGCCTTACTGTGATGCTAACTCACTTTTTACTTAATATGTAAACATTTTATTTAATTTCTTGCCTATAGGGGAATAACATCCCAGAGTACCAACATCAAATTTACTTACTTCAAACCCTTTTATCCCCCAAGGCTGTAGTTCCCCAAGTTTTACTTGATACTCTGTGTTTGAGATTAAGGAAAAGGTTAAGGTAAGGAAGGATCAGGTACTAGAGTTAGGGTTAAGGTTTGGTTGTGTGTAACCTCCTATATCATCCCAATGAAAAAAAGGACTCACATTCATAGAATCCCAGTTTTGCACTGGTCGTCAACAACATGCCAAACAAACTTCATCCATCTGCTCCCCCTTCTCTTTCTTGGCCCCTCCTTAACGGCCCCCTATCCCTATGACAGGTTGTTGCTGATATCCAGGGCTTGTTGGTACACCTGAGTCATATCATCAAGATCTCCTAACAAAGAGAAGCTGCTGTTATCCCCCGGAGAGCCCTGTGCATCTCGGTTGAATTTCCCACTATGCATGGGAGGAGCTGCCTGGAGGCCTTTAAAGTTGGCCAGCTGGAGGAGGTTTTCTGCAGACAGACAGCTTCTGATGTTAGGGCGGGTTCTGGGTGGGGGCCATTCAGTGCTGCAGAAGGAACTGTTGGTGATGGTGTCGCTTTCCTCCCTTACGATGCTAGATGGACGACTCTGACTGCGGGATAAACCAGAATCTGAAGGTGCTGGTTCCCCAAGGACACCCAATGGAGGTGCGCCACTATATGTGGAATACTTTCCATTGCGCTTCAAGATGCCCTTTCTACCAACCGCTCGCTTTGGTGGTGAGCTTGCGGCAAGAGGTGTGATGTTGCCACTTAACAAGTCAGAGGACTCGCTGCGCTCTGGGGAAGAATAGTACCCTGATTCCCTTTGTTGGTTGTTTTTTAGGATTCCCTTCTTAGGTAGGATTGAGACGGACTTTGATGGAGAGTTCCCCTGTTCCTCATCCCCATCTTCACCATCAGGCCCAGATTCCTTCTCTGGGGTTCCAGCACCAGACTCGATCTCCTCCAAACTTGGAGAGCGTTGCTCTTCAGAGGTTCTTGTCTTCAGGATGCCCTTTGGTCTCTTGAGGCCCAAGCTGTCCTCTCCATTACAGTGGGACACTCCAACATCATTCTCCTTCTTGGACTTTTTGGGCCGTTGACGGACAAGCAGGAATGGTTCGGACCGGATGGCTTTAGTGGGTCGAGGCTCGGTCCGGTTCTGCCAGTCGATGAGACGAGCCAGCATGGGTGAACCATTATCTCTTTGCGATTCACAGTCACACACACTGTTCTTCCATCCCCAGTTAACCCACCAGTGATTGGCAATGTCTTCCACTGTGGCACGCCTCTCAGGGTTGACCATCAACATCCAGCGGATCAGACCACGAGCATCTGAATAAAAAAAAATCAGGTTTATTGTTTAACACAAAAAAAACATTTCTAAATTGAAAAGGCATTCTGCACTGTGTTTATAGAGTACTTAAGTCTAGTACCTGATGACTGGGATGGTTCTCGGTACTCTCCATTGCTGATTTGCCGAATGAGATTTTTGTGGTCCCCTCCATCAAATGGCATACTGCCATAGACCAGCGTATACAGCAACACTCCCAGAGCCCAGCTGTCCACCTACAAATAATGGACGACATTGATGTCAGCTGACTCTTGAAAGAACATTGAGTTACTGCTAACTGTTAAATAAAAAAACTTCAAATATATCCTGTTATATGAAGGGGGTAATAGAAATCACATGAGGGTTGGTTAGCCTGTGTATTCGTCCAAGAAACTATTGTTCATTTGACTCCTTGGACTTTTTAGAAAAGGAAAAGGAAAAACAGCATCAGATGGTACCAATCTCCCTCTTTTGCTAGTTTCAGGGTTTTTTCAGTATCGACTCTATACAATATCATCCTGCCTTAAGACATTTTATTACGCAACATATTACCCTGAGCACTGAGTTATGTAAGTCCCGTGGAGGGTGGGGTGAAAGGGCAAGATATGTTGGATAGAAATCCCATGATTGCCCAGCAGCCTGGATGGGTTTCGAGGTTTTTGAGTTGTCAGTTCACCAGAAATCACTAGACTCGAGTTGTTTTTCTCCAGGCCGCCACCATGGCGAGAAGTAATAGAGACTTTAGTGCTTCTATTGATTGCAACGGTTGGCTTTTTCTCAAAAGGGTTTGGCCATTTTGATTACACTCTCTACACTGTAGTGTTTTCTGAACAGTTAAGCAAAATTGCAGCAATTTATTGCACACTTAAGTTGATGAAGTACGCTGAACAACTCCTATTTTAAAAAATTCTATGTGTAGTCTACCACAAAAGAGGCACATGTAAAGTTCAAAAGAATCCTTCAACTCTAACCCAGGATCAACTTGTATAATCAGAGATACTTGCGGGGAAAAACCCCAGCTGCTCTCCATGTTCAGTAGGTAAGCACAAGGCGTGTGTTTGCCTTTTCCTTGGGGTTTGTGGAAGGATAATCCCATCAAAGTGCAGAATGAAGCTTCACTAACCACACAGACTCTCTCTGATAGATCACAGCCGCTCACAGTGGATTTCACACGCTAACATAATGAAACTGTGGGGTGTTTCATTTACGATGATGCAAACCTCAGGGGTTTATGCCTGTGCATCACGTCATGCAAGCCTGTAGTAAACTATTCCAGCATGTTCTTATGACCCTGGAAAGAAGTTCAACTTAAAGAACAGCTTTATACATGCATGTCTCACCTCTGGACCACGATACGGTCTGCCATTGACAATCTCTGGGGACGCATACAGTGGGCTACCACAGAAGGTCTGGAGGAGCTTGTCTTTATGATACAGGTTAGACAACCCAAAATCAGCAATCTGAAGTAACAACAAGCGTTCTGTTTTAATGAAGCAATCAAATGTAGTGTATTTTCCTAGTTTCTTTTTAGACTGTTTAAGGACTCACCTTTATGTTACAGTTTTCATCCAGTAGCACATTTTCCAGTTTCAGGTCTCGGTGAACAACACCATTCTGTAAAGTAAACCAGAATGAATTTAAGGGGTTGGAGGTAATATAGTCATAGCCAGCAGAATACGACCAATTAACCACTGACATCTGTTCTACAAACTCTCTCTATAGTTACAGCTCTGTTAAGACAACCAACTCTTGATTGAAACATGATTGTGCAGTTTGTCCATGTGTTTCCTTTAAAGTAACAAACAGCATTTGGATTACAGCATGCCCGGAACTCAGTCACAAGGGGTTTCAGATCTGAGGGAGTTCATTACAGATGTCTGATGGCCATGAAAGACGCATATGTTTAGCATACACGGCTTTTAACAGATGGTCTATAAATTGACAGTTTAACAGGCTGCTTTCTTGTGTCGTCTGGCGGACCCCACCCAAAAATCCCCCCGCATTGTGGTTGCCTATGGTGATGATGACTCATTACCCTCCCCTCTGGTGTCTGGGAGCTCCTCTGCCCTGAGATATGACATCACGTCATTTTCAGCTGCAAACCAGCCCACCCAGTGCAGCCCCACAGGGACCTTGACTGACTTGGAGCAGTGCATCATGGGGGAGCGGCACAGTCTCATTTATGAGATGTGTTGCGAAACTCTGGCAATTCCTCATGATCATCCCAATTAGACAGCATTTTAATGTGTTGTTTTAAAAGGTGGGGATGTAATTCCATTGCAACAAGCTCGGTGACCAAAAATGGTGGACAAAACAAGATTAACATCATTGAAGTGTTTACCTATTTTTTTCACCTATTACAGGGGTATCCTGAGTTGCTCCTTGAGAACCACTTCCCTGTTAATCTTCTGAACCAGGTAGTCTTTAGGTCACAGGTTCCCAAACTCTGTCCTAGTGGGCCGGTGTCCAGCAAAGTTTAGTTCCAACTCAAATCAGACACACCTGGGCTAGATAATCTTACTAGGTCAGGGATGTCCAAACTCAGTCCTGGAGTCTTCATAGTTTGGCTCCAACTTCCTTCAATACACCTGTCTGGAAGTTTCAAGTATACCTAGAAAGAGCTTGATTAGCGGGTTCAGGTGTGTCTAATTGGGGATGGAGCTAAACTATGCAGGACACCTGCCTTCCAGGACCGATTTTGGGCACCCCTTTACTAAGCTTTCTTGAAACATCCTTGCAGGTGTGTTGAGGCAAGTTGGAGCTAAAATCTCCAGGACACCGGCCCTCCAGAATCAAGTGTGGACACCCTTGCTTAAGGTGAATAATTCATCCATGCAAGATAATCAATTGAATAACAAATTTTTGTTTTGGCATTCTTCAATCAAAATCTGATAATTTGCTTCTCCAATTGAAGTGGAAGTGTCTCTGATGATGTCAGTTTGATGGTTTCAGCCACAATATTTTTTAACCATGCCCCTACCATTATTAATGCTCTTACCATTTGTTTGCTGTGAGGCAAATGCCTCCTTAGCTGGACTGAACTTCTCTGACCTATTATTTGTGTCTGTGGATTTCTATGGTTCCCTTTGCACTTGTCTGATTTAAAAATCTTGGTCTGATTTCAAGAAACTGGGAAGCCCTTTTACACATTCACAGAACTTCATGGAACTGTACAGTTGGGTGGTTTATTACTTGACAACTCTGCTAAAAGCCGAAATGTGTGACCCATGATGCAAAGCTGTATCACATCACTTCCAAGATTCCTCCCAAACTGACAAGAGCCAAAAATAATAGACTCGCACTGCACGGCCGGTTTTTATCGAATAGCAGCACGTGCAGCTCTGCAGGAAGCCCTGATGACACATGAGGCTCTCACTCAGAGGAGAAAGAGATTGTGAAAGAGAGGAATGGATTGAGATAAGAAAGGTGCGTACCTTGTGGCAGTAGTGCACAGCAGAGACAATCTGCCTGAAGAAGTGTCGGGTTTCTCTCTCAGTCAGCCGACGGCGTTCGCTGATATAGTCATAGAGTTCCCCTTTACTGGCGTACTCCATGACGATCACTATCTTGTCCTTGTTCTCAAACACTACAAAACAAAACAACATGTTGTCAGTTTGTATGTTGTTTGTTTAAAATATGTTTAACTAATTTGGCCCTGTGTAAAAGTGTTAGCTTTATTCCAGTTTAGACTTTTAGTTCAAATAAACTACTAATTTGCAGCTCATTAATAGTTGAGTAGTAGTTGGGTTTAGGAATTGGGCAAGATTAGTGTAGTTGTTTTAAGTAGGTAAGATTAAATAGTTAATAAACTAGTAAATATTACATGCTTAAAGTTTTACAGAATAAGACTTTTTGGCTAAATTTAAACGAGTGTGGATCTCTTTCATCTTATTTTGTTATTGCATACTTTGGATCTACACACCTTATATTATTTGGTGACTGGATCTTTGGACGAGCGATTGGCAGTATGACCTTTCTATTTGTGGATCGTAAATAATATAGACAAAGTTGGAAGCATCAGTAATTGGCCAGTTGACTATCATGACCCATCTTCTGTCAACCCAAGGCTTCAATGAAGAGGAGTCCAGTCAAAAATAACCATGTTCAGTGGCGCCTTGTTTCTTCGGAATGCAGCCCACAATAAAAAAAAGCACTGGATCTGTAAGACTTTGTTTTGTAGTGGCCAGTCCAAAAAGTTCAGAGGGTCACAGTGGAATCTGCTAATGACCAAGAGAAGCCGAAAAATCCAAAGGAACAAACACAGCAAATTACAGTCCGACACAGCAGAAAGTGGCTGTTTTTGCAAAACCCCAAAAATCCTCATACAGATCACCCCACCCAAGTGTTTGGCACTGCCGGCAGCTCCTGTCACGCATCCAGAATTGGTTCTCATCTTTTTTTTTCTTTTTAAAAACATAATCTCTCTTGTCTGCCACTGCTTTGCAGAAAGCAGCAGGGAATGTAAGCGCAAGGACTTTTGGGATTGTGCAAACACAATTTAAGAGGGGGTTCAGCAGGCGGAGGGGGGAGTGTTGTCAACAGATTTACAGTGTCAAAGACAGTAATTCGCAGTCTCAAAGTGATGCTAAATATCGGAGCTCAGTGACAAATTTTGCAGTGATATGAGAATATCCACCTGGCAAATCCACTGCAGACTGTAGGAAAGGAAATCCCAAATTAGTCATCTTTAGAAGCTTAATTGTTTCTTTTGAACCCGTTTGCACTAAGTATTAAAACCAAACAGACACAAAGGTCACCTGTTCTCTACATATTGACCTAATACATGATTATTATGGGACATGTTGTCAGAAAGCATACTAAAAACAACTAGTATCTGTTCCAAAACACACAGAATATACTGTACCAAAACACACAGTAAAATAGTTGGCATCCACACCCTTTTCATCCAACTGATTTCCAACTCCCTCATAAGCTCTGTGATATGGGGTGGTTCATTCAAGAGTACCTGAGCATCACATTGAATGCTCCTGCGAAAGTGGTGTAGAGCGTGACGAAAGGGAAGGGTCCTGATAAAATTTGAACAAAGACTTCCAACTGGAACCAGAGAAGTTTATTAAATAGGATTAAATTCTAAATAAATGGATACTTAGCTCACGTATCTCAATTTGAACTCATCTAGCTTTCATTTCAGTTGTGTGGAAACAATTGAAACATTTTTGATACTCAAATCATAATCTCTTGAGCAATGAAACTGCAAACTCGTAGCAATAAAAATGTTCCTCTGGGAAAGTTCAGGCAGCTAAATGGGTACGCAAGCAATTCACACTCATTCCTCCATCTGAAAATTTCCATGACCAGCCCAAACCCATAAACATAATTTAACACGGCACAAAATTAAAAGAGAAAGACACTCGAGCAATGAAAGACAAAGCCAGACATGAAAAAAAAAAAAAACAGTCCCCGGAGACTCATTTTAAACTGCTAACTCCAGAGACCCATTTAAAGAGGTGTTCTCCCCTCTTCGAGTCAGGCCAACCACAACACAGGCGGAGTCATGACACAGAACAAAGATGAATACGGCAAGCCTTCAAAAATAAACTGCCCTATAAACCCAGACGGACTTTGAGAGGGAAAACCGTCGAGTCAGCGCGCCGAGAGCTCGCCAAAGCCCCAGAATCAGCAGAAGAAACCAGACGGCAGCAAAAACGTCTTTAGAAATCATCAACACAGGATTTTTACCGGACATGTTGACCGCTGAAAAAATGCAGGTCGGGAATGGGGAGAGTCATATTTACAGAGGCTGATCTAGTTTAATATTACTGCATGAATAAAACACAAGGCTTCACGGCTAAAGGCTATTAATAGCCAATGAAAGATTATCAATTATTTATTGAAACTGCATGTTTTATTTACATCAGAATTTGATTGGATGGTTTAATAGATGGATGAGTGAATGTCCTGAGTTGTTGCTAGGGGGTTGCTTTAGTGGTTCCCAGGTGTTTATAGGTGGATACAAGACAAAGATAGACCGATAGACAGATTTTCGCTAGAATTATTAGGCAGTTCTTAAATATTTTAGGTGGTTGCTAGGGTGCTATAAGTAGTTGCTATGGGGTTTCTTGGAATAGACAGATAGACTGAGATAAACAAAATTTTGTGGTTGCTAGGCTGTTCTGGGGGGGGGGGTGGCTAGGTGGCTACTGGCAGTGGTAGTGGTTATTGGTTTTTGCTATGGTCGTTATTAGGCAGTTCTTAAATTACTTAGGTAGTTGCTAGGGTGTTGTGAGTAGTTGCTATGGGGTTTCTTGGAATAGACAGACAGAACGAGATAAACTGACTTACTGTTTGGCTGATAATGGCATGGTTGTTGCTAGGCAGTTGGATAAAAGTACTAGGTGGTTACTAGGGTGTTCTGGAGGGGGTTGCTATGATGGTTATCAGGGGTTGCTAGGTGGTTACTAGGTGGAGTGATAGATAGAATAGACATTTTTTTGCTAGAGTCATTGTTAGGCAGTTCTTGACTTGGGTAGTTGTTAGGGTGTTGTGAGTAGTTGCTATGGGGTTACTTAGAATAGACAAGACAGACCAGACTTATTGTTTGATTGATTGGTATGGCTGTTGCTACACAGCTGGATTAAAGTATTAGGTGGTTGCTAGGGTGTTTGAGCAGTTGCTAGGTGGTTACTGATGAATACCTTCATATATAGAGATGATATGTGGGTGGCGAAGAGACGACATGATCTCGATTTCTCGTCGAATGTGAACCATGTCCTGTTCATCTTTGATCTTCTCCTTCCTTATAGACTTGATGGCAACCTGAGGAGAAGAAAGAGATTTAGTTTAATTTATTTTTGTAAATCATAGGTCAAAAACCATTACCCTCCGTAGTAGTACCACACCTAAAAGTGTTTGAACACGTGCACTAACCACTTGGCCTTGGCTCTGACAAATACATTCTATTCTTGAGCTTCAGAAAAACACCTGAGTGGATTCTTCATACAGAGAGGTATAATCATCCATCACACACTCACACACACACACACACACACACACACACACACAGAATTATCCCATAAATACACATCACAGCTGAGCATATTTTCAGTCTCTCGCTGTGTAATTTTCCTGATGTTTTTTTCTTTTCTTCATTTCTTTGGTAGGGAAAATGAGGGTGCAGTGTTTGGAAGTGGAATGAAGCTCTCTTATGGGTTTCTTCTGATCTGCATCAGCTTAAGCAGCATAGTCTAAAACAGACCTTGGAAATTAAGAATAACATTTCATAAAATTCTGAATGTGTGTAAAACCATGGATTTTTGGAATAAACAATCTAAAACTGGAACAAATAAATATTCTAGAATGGGATCAAACTAATGTATTGCAACTGCAACAAACAAACATTCTAGAACTGAAACAAACATATCTTTTGTTTTTCTAAGTTGTGAACAAACAAACATTTTACAACTGCAACAACAACAAAAAAAAACAGTCTAGAACCGAAGCAAACATTCTTTAGCTGTAACAAACAGACACTATAGATTGGGAACAAACAAACATTCTAGAACCGGAACGAGCATTCTAGAATTCTAACAAAGAGATCAACATTGGGAACAAAACAAACAGATTACAACAACAAAAACATTCTAGAACCGGAACAAAAATTCTAGAACTAGAACAGACAGACCTTCTAGAGTGCGAGCAAACAAACATTCTAGAACCAGAACAAACAGAACTTCTAGATTGGGAACAAACAAACATTACAACTGCAACGAACAAACATTCTAGACCTGGAACAAACAGAACTTCTAGATTGTGAACAAACAAAAATATAACAACTGCAACAAACAAACATTTTAGAACCTTGATAAAACATTCAAGAACTGTAACAAACAGACCTTCTGGATTGCGAGCAAACAAACATTCTAAAACTGGAACAAACAGACACTCTATGAACAAACAAACATTTTACACCTGCAAAAAAAATATTCTAGAACTGGAATAAACATTTTAGAACTGTAAAATAACAGACCATTTAGATTGGGAGCAAACAAACATTCTAGAACTGGAACACACAGACACTATATTGGGAACAAACAAACATTCTAGAACCAGAACAAACAGACCTTCTAGAGTGAGAGCAAACAAACATTCTAGAACCAGAACAAACAGAATTTATAAAACTGGAACAAACAGACCTTCTAGATTGGGAACAAACCAACATATTACAACCGCAACAAACAAACATTTTAGAACCGGATAAAACATTCAAGAACTGTAACAAACAGACCTTCTAGACTGGGAACAAACAAATATACTACAACTGCAACAAACAAACATTCCAGAACCGGAACAAACTTTCTATAACAGGAATAAACAGACCTTTTGGATTGGGAACAAACAAACATTCTAGAAGCAGAACAAACAGACCTTCTAGATTGGGAACAAACAAACATACCACAACTGCAAAAAGCAAACATTCTAGAACTGGAACAAACATTTTAGAACTGAAACAAACAGACGCTCTAAATTGTGAACAAACAAACGTTCTAGAACTGGATTATTCAGACCTTCTAGTTTGGGAACAAACAAACATATAACAACTGCAACAAACTAGCATTTTGGAACCGGAACAAACATTCTAGAACTCTAACAAAGAGATCCTCTACATTGGGAAAAAACAAACAGACATTCTAGATGAGGAAAAAAATTCAAACATACTACAACTGCAACAAACAAACATTCTAGAACTGTAGCAAACACTCTACTGTAGAACTAGAACAAGCATTCCAAAACTGAAACAAACAAAGATTCTACAACTACAGATATGATGTGGGCACAGAGAAGACCTGCAGGCTAACTGGCGGATGATGTCATCAGGAGGAAAGAGGAAATGATATCTGGGTAGTGATTTCCTGTCTATTTCGGTCCTATCTCACCCTCCCAGGCGTGCGCCGCATGTCCATTTAAAGAACAAATGGAACAATGACAGGCCTGATGACAAACCTTAGTTGGAATCGAGGAAGTTCTTTGTCAATGCTGTTTTTTTTTATGATGTCACACACACAATGACAGTCCCTAAAACATGTCTATGTGGCTTCTCATCATTGCAGTGGTTCTCAAAACAGCCTGTGTCTTCACATTAATGGCGAACAAGCAGGCGGACCACTGCTTTTCTTGGAGAAACCAAAACCACATGTTTCCGAGGAGTTGAAGGTAAATCACTGACTATATCCTTAAAAGGAAAGCCCTAGCGGAATGCTTCAAAACTGATTATTTGGAGTAAAAAAGACATAAACAAATCCAGAAACCAGGGCCTGTTCTCTAAAAGCAGAATGGGCAAACCCTGCTCTTTATTGAAAAGCCATCACAGAGTGTTTTCCATGAGCTCATGAAGTTATGCACAGCTGAAGGTATTCACCTCCCGCCAGGTCCGCTGGAGACGGCAGGAATACTAATGCTGCAGTTTGTTCATACGCAGTAGGAGTGAGAGTTTAAAATAACCTCCCGGATGAAAAAAAAAAAAGTGTCCTATCGGAGGTAACAAGATTTCAACAAGAGAAGCCTTTTATTTATTAATCTGTGCACAAACCAATGACTGTAAAAAATATGGACGACGCGACAGCCCTTTTTCCCATTGAACGCCTTGAGGGCAAAACGCCTGCTTGACGGGCACAAACTGTCGCAAAAGACTGCTGAAATTGGAGCCAGACATGCGCAGAAGGATTGTCTGATGGAGCCAGAGGAGGAGCCGCGAAAATGAGCGGAGTCGAGCTTCCAATCAAACGCTTTATGTAAAATCAACTACGCCCCCCGAACTTCTCAGCATGCGTTTGCTGTCATATCAACACAAATGGATGTAATAACGTTAACAAATATGAGGATTTTATATATTCAATCGCGCCAGCTCCAGGCCGCAGCGCATAACTTACTCGCGGCGTCGCGGGCTGATTCCGGCTCGCATGCGGCAGCGCCTGCTCGCTCGGCCGCCGCATCTGGCTCGATTGACTCGGGCTGGAATTGGGTAGTGAGTCCAGGCATCCGGAGTAGGTCCAGCAGAGGTAACATTGGTCAGTCTGAGCTCTAAGACATAAGTCTCCGGCAGGCGAGAATCTAGCCGGAACTGTGTTTTGCTATCTGGGTGGTTAGGCGTGTATCAGCAAACTAATAAAGCCCGAAAAAAGCCCTGAACTTAGCGAATAAACAGTGTTCCACCAGGATCATGTATGTCAGAAACTATAGTTTACTGCTGAACTCATTTTGTCATGGTAAAATAACACAGAAATCGAATAATAACATTTCAGTCTACTTCAGTCTCCTGCCGAAGCTCAGACGCCGCGCTTTGAGAAACTGTCAATCACAGCTGTCAATCACGATGACACGCCCAGCATTAAATTACTGCTAAAAACAAACTGTTTACAAAAATGAAGATCTGCACCTATTTCAGCACAAGAACCAGTGCCTTAATCGACCAGAACCATCTTTCGGGACATTTTATTGCAAGTGTAATATTTTTTTTTATTTGGGCTCAAGTCTCCTTCATTAACACGGAGGAGGCGGGCTTTATGACTTGTACTGCAGCCAGCCCCCAGGGGGCGATCTAACGGCCGAAACCTTCACTCAAACGTAGGCTTGCGGCACACTTGGCACAAACAAAATTAACAGAATACAATATTTGTATTTCCTCGATGGTGTTTGCAAAGTGCTAGAGATTTGAACAAGTATGATGCTGGCTTGGACAACTTGAACAACTCCACAAAACTTACATTTGTGAGATTTTCTTTTTTGTTAAGTAAAATAACAGAAAAAAAACAGCATTGGCATAGTGCGTTCTTTTGACAGTGGGCAAGAAATACACCTCAACCACATCTGCAACCACTAAGCAATCAGCCTGACTGCATTACAGTAGTAACCACTGCATACATTCTAGCAACCACCCTAATTCTAGTAAAACTTCTATAGCAAAAACATCCAAAAGACCCTATAACCACCTACAAACCACCTCATGCCCAAGGAAATAAGTGCCTAACAACCACCTCAAAAGCCTCATCATTCTGAATCCCATAGCAACCATTACACCCCTTAAGCAACCACCCAAATGGGTCACCATCAATAACAGCCACTCTAGAAACCACCTAGTAATGATTTAAGCAGCCACCCAAAATAGCTAAACAATGAATAAGCTGTCACACTAAATGCCATAGCAGCCACACTAGAGACCACCAAGAAACCACCTAAAACATTCTAGCATCCACCTTCTATACCCTAAACACTAGCAAAAACACAAAACACCCTAGTAACCACCTAGCAACAACCTCAAATAGCCAAGCAAAGTGGCCAAGCAACTACCTCAAAAGCCTACTGACCACCCTAAAGGCTGATTTATACTTCTGACGCATAGCCCTTTGGCGTCGCTGACGTGCACCTCTCAAAAAATGTAACTACACGACGCAACGACGCATAGCGCAAGCTCTGTGATTGGTCGGCTTGGTAGCGCTGACGAGTCTGGGCGGGAATGGTGCGAGCCTGATAGAGCGATTGTTTACAAGTGTGGAGTTCCGTGAAGGAGCTCCGGATGTAAAGTTTTGTTTTGTGTTTACTTCATAGTTAAAGTTGTTGCACGTCCGCCGGTTCCTGCCTCAAAATGAGCGAGTTTGAGCCACTTGTACATCCAGGAAGTGTTCAGGAAAAGCAAAACAACAGCGAAGAAACTCGACACAGAGGAACATTTACACCTCACTGCCAACTAGCATTTCGGAAGTGTTAATGCAGACCAACAGAGACAGCGCGCAGAAGTATAAATGCACAGCTACGCGCGTTGC